AGTTTTCCCACTCATTACTTGTTTTCTCTAAAGGAGCGACCTGCCAATGTATGAGTAATTTGACACTCAAGTCACAATTTCACACATTTTTACTTTCTATGCCACTTGTCTATTTTGTTCAGTGGATACACCATTTTAAACATGTTTTTACTTTTGATCTTGTGGTTCCCCTTTAATGTTAAGCATTTCATTGATAATGATGGCAATTTCTAAATTGACAGCATTTTTAGTTTTTAATTGACTATAGGCAGTTTTGACTTTATTTAATATTTGATCTTTTTAATATATATAATAATATTTATAACTTGTATTTTTTATTTTATACACTTAATTTTTACTTTTTATTGTATTTTAAATGTTATTTCATAAAAAAACAATCAGTCAATCATGCTTCTGCTTACTTGTTTATGTACCACTTACTTCAGTAGATCTTGGGAAGAACATGGCAAGGTCAAAAGTGATCAATTTTGAAGATAAGATACTTAGGCTTTTTCTTAACTTTCCCTACTTTGGATGGTACTTGTTAATTCAAAACAGATGGTTCAGTAGTGTCACCATTAGTGTTTGATATTGGTGCTTATCCATTCCACCAAAAGGAGTGAACATTTTGTCAGATTTTCACGTTAGCATAAATAGCTTAAGGGATGAGGGAAACATTTAGTGTTACGTTGTAACAATGCAGTGTGTTAGTACACTGTATTAATCAAAGTTTGATATTTTTGAAATTAACTGTTTCAAGAAATTTTATATTTCAAGCAAATTATGCTGCTTGTTTATACAAGGGTATATTCTTAAAAATATAATGATTAATTATGCATCTATTGTTTAGAATTTTCATGAAATATAATAGATTTGACAACTAGTTTCAAATTGTGACCATGTTTTATTGTAGATTATTAACCTATGATATGATGATATAAAAGTCTGGCATTCTATAGACTTTAGTGAAACTTAATTAAGACATAAGTTATCAATAAATTTTTCTTTTCCCATTCTTAATTGATTTATACACTCAAAAGGACTATGCATTGACTTGTTATCTTTTTATAATTTAAATTTTGACAGTTTCAACAAGTTTATGTAAAACTTGTAAAGAAGTGTTAATTCGGAACAACTCTTCTATTCTCCTCTTGAGAAGTGCCAAAAATCCTTAAGTTCAGACACCGGTCACTATCTGTTTAACATCTTTCTTTGATTGTGACATGTGGAACTAGTTGCTCATGCATACTGGTCAAGATAAGTGTTACTTCCTTGTGTTCTTCCAAAAATGTTCAAACCTAAACTTTTGTAGGTCTATCAGCTGCATTACTTTCTTGTTTTTATGCTGACAAATAACATTAATACAGGTTTCCATCTTGGACTTATAATAAATCATGTAAACTTTATGGGTTTCAAACATCTTAGTTTGTGTTCTTGACCTATTTGACAGCAGGATTGATTGAGTTTACTTTTTCAGGTACAACAGCCAAACAGTATCTGAGTTAGTCAAGAGTGCTTCCAATATTTCTGTGAATGACCTGTTTATATGCCTTAATTCTGTGAAGATTCCTTATTTTTTGTTGGTGTTTAGAATCTGTGCCTCATTCAAATGGTTTCACCTTTACCAAATAGTCAGGTAGTCCTTTCATACTTTTATCTTGTTGTCAAGAACTATGTTGGATGGTGATGACCATGAAATTTTTCAGTGCTGCAATCCACTGGGCAGGAAGATAGTAGTGTGGGATGCTTTTATCTAGCACTTTCATTATAGTAGAGTTGGATGATTTAAGTAATATAATTGACTACTTATAAGCAGTTATGACATCAAGGGCTTAACAAAAGCTGAAGATGGCTAACTTGATGCAACTTTTTTTAACATTGTTAAGAGTTTGTTTAAATTGGCTAAGGGAAATAAGATAAGATTGGAAGTAAATGGTGCAAGAGAACAAGGGATATATATTATTCCTTGTCATCATTTTTTATAAAGTTGAATAATTATTTATTTGGTTTGTGCTGTACATTATTATGAATGTAAAAAACAATATCTACATGTAGATTGGCACCCAGCTTGTCAGAATTTGATGAAATCTGCCTTGATTAGAGTTTAAATCCAGAACCTTGCTTCATACTAGTGTTTTGAGGCCAGTGCTTTACTAACTGAGATGTGAAGGCCTAAGCAGAAACCTTGAGTCTTGACTGTTACAAAAATATTTGTCTTTATCAAACCACCTCTCATTTTGTTTTGTTATTACAAGAAACTTTCAGTTTGATACACATTATATATATTTAAAAATTTTGTTTTCCTATATTTTTATTAAAATTTCTTATAACCCCTATATTTTAATGAGGATCAATAGAAAAAAAAAGTTATATCATAAACAGTTGAATAATCATTGTTTGAACAACATATTTATCAACATTATTATTTTACAGTGTCTAAAGTAAATCATAATGTCCCAATTATTCATCATGCCCTTGTTTTAACTAACCATAAACTAACAGTTTAATATCTATATTGAAAGTGGCTTGTGTGTCTGTCCATAATGAACATTTTCCAACTCTCCAGTCTCTGATCACAAACAAACTGTCAGGAGTTCTTAGGTATGCCCATCTGAAGCCTCTTACTTTATTCATTTTCAAATTTTTATGAGCCTGACAGTTATTTCAGTACTCCTTCTTGCTACTGCCGTAGCGCTTTCTTCCTGAACTCTGAAACTTTCTGGGGTTCTTGAGTATGGATCAGAGCTATATTGAAAATAGTTAAATTAATATGAAAAGGCTGACCAGTATGGAGAATTTTTAGAACCTTTTATGCCAATATTCAGTATACCTTCATGACAAACTGACACACATATGCTGCCATGACACCCTCACAAGACCAACAGAATAAATGCCATGGATAGTGTGGGAACATTTGTTAGTATTATGTGATATATATATATATACTCTTTCACAGAATGCTAAGTATTCTCAGTTATTGAATATGCATTTTTAATGATTTAATATGACAACAATTTGTATTTATTATCAAATATTTATAGCAGTTTACTACAAGTAATGTTGCAGCTGGCCGTCTCAGAGGAGCGCAAGAAAGTGTTAGGTAAGAAGTACTGTATGTAGTTATATTTGTGTATGTAATTGTTTCTTGTAAAGTGTTGGTAGTGGTTTTAGCTATGATAGGGTTCTTGGATTTAATAATATTTAGACCCCATTCATTAAGATATATGTTAATACATATTATGAACCAATGAAAGTAAACTTTGTAACAAACATTATTGTAAGTGAAATAGATGATAAGAGAAAAGAAACTCAAGGATTGGGGCTCAAAACCAGGACCTTTGACAAACAGAGTCAATGTTCTATTGATCTGAACTTTCCAAGAGTATGACCATCCTCATCTCTTTTTATCCATAAAGCTTTATAATTATGTGTAAGAACCTCATATTTACTTGTGTTGTTTTGGTCAGGCAATTAGTGGGTTGATTTACCATCACTGTACTAAATCACAAGAGTCTAACTGGACCCACATATATATTTTTTATTTCTATTATTTTTAATTCACATTATGAATCAATGAAAAGTAAGCTTTCTAACAAACATTGTTATAAGTGTGGTTCATACTGATAGATAAAAACCATTATGGGTGAAAAGAGATGGAGAGGACATGTACTCATAGATAGTTTGGTTGGATAAAATGTTGGTCCTATTAACTAAAGGTCCTGGGTTCAAGCCTCAGTCCTGGAGCCTTTTCCAGTGTTTTTCAGACATATGCTCTATCATAAAAGTTTTTATTGTTAGACAGTGCCTTGCAGTGTGACAAACATAAATATCTATATACATATATATTCCACCTCATCTCATGAATATTAAAGTGAAAAATAACATAGTTTGAGTAATATATAATAAATATTAATTTAGTAACGGACTTATTTTTGTACTAGTTTTTACCATCTAGAGCAAAATCTTGTAGTACTCTAGGATTAATTTAAAAACCCACACATTTTGTAATATTGCCATATAAGATGTGGGTGTGTGTTTATGTGGGTCATACACATACAAAGATATTTACATTTTACAGAATCATTTATTGTAGTGTACACATAAGCCACAAAAGAAACATAAGTTCTAAATACTTTAAAAAAAGTATCTTCACCTAAAGATCAAAATGTATATGTATACTGAAGCACTGTTTGATTTAGTGTATAAATCTTAAAATGTTTAAATGTTTTGTACTACTGGAATTACAGATTTGGATTTGTTTAGTCAAGTTGTGATTTTAGGCAGGGCAAGTGTTGGTTGATTGTACAAAGTGACATCCCAGATGGCAATATTGTTATTGTTGAAAATTCTAGCAGTAAATAAATTATTTATGGATATGTATTTGCAGAGAATTTTGACATAAAGTGCTCATAATCAGAGGAAATTATTTATAAGTGTAGCTAATAAGTTTTTACTGTACTTTATATTTTAGGGAAGAGCTCATGCAACTTGCTCTGGAAGTAAATCCAGTAAACTTAAGTGCAGAAACTCCTGATTTTGTAGCTCCAGAGTTTATTACCAAAGCTTTAAGTGAAGCTGTGACTGGACCAAATATTCTTCTAAATCAATACACTCGGGGCTATGTAAGTGTTTTGGTTCCATGCAAGAAACAATGACAATTTGTGTTTAGAAGGCAACATAAAGATCCGTGAAAATAGCTTTTTAGTTTATGTGTCAACCTTCAAAAGCATAACCAGTACATTGTTATATTCAGTTTTATTAAAGAACAAATCTAACCTTTAAGTTCAGAACTTGCATATCTTTCTTTTGTTTTTATTGTGTTTTTAAAAGAAGAGTTTAACATGTTTATCTTGACTTTTAAACAATAACTATTATTTTGTAATAATACAGTCACAAAAAAAATTAGCCATGGTAAATAGAGTAGTAGCTTTTTATGTCTAGCCATTCTAATAAAAATAAAATCTTAAATGTTTTTATTTAAGTATACATACATTGACACCTAGGAGGTAAATGTTTTACATTAATTCCTAATTCAAATCTGGTTCTACTGAACTTTCTTGACATGTTTTCATTTTTATTATAAAAATTATTTTTGCATTATAATGTTGAAAAGACATTTAAAGAACCATTGTGGTAATTATTCAGGAATTCATATAAGGAAGGATGAGTGCTGTGGTGTGTAACAAGTGAATTGAAAGAAACAAGACATAGTGTTGAAGTCAGAGTGAAATAAGATACTTTACTTTCTGAAGATGACAAAAAATGAAGTGTAGGAATTGGGAGTACAACTGCTTTGTGCAAAAGATAAAAAAGTAAAGTAAATTGCATTTAAGTGAGAACATATTAAAACTTACTTCACTTGAAAACGAATTGAAAGTTCAAACAAAGTGAACAGGACCAGCTAATTATGTGAGAAGAATTAATGTACCGTATCCGAAGTTATAATTTTCCTACACTGAAAATTTATTTCTAATAGGTAGTTGCCTCCCCTCACACTTCTCACTCTTCCTCTCCACCGAAAACTGGTGCTTCCAATGTCTGCCCAAACTCGAAGTGATAGTCTGGTAGAATTGAATAGAGGGAGTCACATGCGTAACGAGAGTGTGTAGTACTCTCTTTGGTGGAGGGTTGTGGCATGATAAGTTGCATGAGAATCACATTGGAATGAGTCATTTCCAATAGAGGGGAGGCAGAAGGCTTGTGGCATGCATGAAAAATATTTTGCATATAGATGGTAGCACTGAACAAGAATAGCTATTTATATGAGAGGAGGTAAGTACCTATCAGAAATATATTTTCAGTATAGGAAAATTATAACTTTAGTCCACATGTTGAAAACACTGCCTAAATATATTTAAAAAATAGAGCCTTAAAATATACTATGGATATGTAGATTATAGCTTTATTATTATGGTACAGAACAAGCATGCTAGGGAAAAGGTAAAATTCTTTTTCTAAGCCAAACAATTGTTTTTGTTTTCAGATACATATTGAACCATGTACATGTGTTTCTTTTTACCTGAGCTGTATTCATAATAATATGTATAACTTTGTTTTCTTAAGGAGTATAAATTTAAGCAATTAATTTGTTTTAATTCAGTTTCTGTATGTCTTAGATGTTCCAGTTAAATTTTTATTTGTGGTATTTAATAGGGTCACCCACGGTTAGTGAATGCTCTAAGCAAACTGTACTCAAAATTGCTTGGTCATGAACTGGATCCATTCAAAGAGATATTAGTAACTGTAGGAGCTTATGGAGCACTTCACTGTGCCATCATGGCCTTAATTAACCCAGGAGATGAGGTATGTAAAACATCCAAGTCAAGAGATGAAACTGTGATGTATGTAATATATAAAAAGGTGTTTGGTATAGTAAGAGATTATTACATGTAGATTTGCAGAATTAGCTTAAGAGTTTAATTAAATTTGATAATGCATTAAAAATTATTGGAGTTTATATTCAAATAATTTTGCAATTGTTACTCTTTTGAAACTGCTTTTAAGTAAAGATTTAATTTCAGTATTTCCAAAAAAATATTTTTTAAATCCAAGAATCCTGTACCTCGTTAATTATTTTTTTTTTAGCTTTGAAAATAACTGTGATGAGCAAAGTGCAACATCTCGTAAGAATCCTTGAGCACAGAGGTCAGTGGCAAAAGTTGTACATATGTTCCAGGAAACAATACACTATACACAACGTAGTAAAGTTTTCTGTCTTGAAAATTGTTCATCTGTCACATACCTCAAGCTTCTAAAGAATGAAATTGATATTCATGCTATTCCATGTGAAAAAATACTGGTTAAATTGCCAAATGTAATGTCTAAGATTTTTTGTGAAATTAGACTGTTGAACCAGAAGCTGGGAAACTGTTATTGTCAAACACTATATGGGCAGATTATTGAAAGCCTGCAGGTGGCCATGGTGTGCTTTTGACATGACAGAGCCATGTTCAATAGACACTATGTTGCAGGATTATTTTTAGATGCACGGCCATCAGATAGAACCTGACAATATGTGTCATCCTGGACTGCAACAATGTGGTGCAGTGCCAAAATTGTTTTAACATAATTTTCTCAACATCTGAATAAATCTTTTTTAATGATAATTTTGGCTTTTACTCTTTTTTTTTAATATAAAGTGAGATAGAAAAGCTTTGAGAAGTGTTTTTCTACCTCCTGGTGGGATTTATTATAAAAACAAGTTAACTGCAGATGTTTTTTTTTCACATTCCTGAGATTGGCTAACCTTAGGTGTTTCATGGAAAAAATGATTGACTTTTTGATACTTCAACAAGTTTGTTAAATCTTACCTTTCCACCTTTTAATCTATGTGCTTTGCTTAAATTTACAGTAGATTTGAACTTATTTGTACATAGTTTATTCAGTGATTGAACACTAAGAGTTTTCACAATTCTAATTAATGAATAAAGGAACTTCTGGGTTTCTTTATTAAGTGAAACAATCTAAATGTATATAGATTAGAAGTAATGAACATTAACATGTAGATCATCCATTTTTCAATGATAGATACAAGATTTTCATGGGTATTTGCCAGTCAGTAAGTTGAACACCACACTTGAGTACATTTGTTACTGAGAAGTTACCATTAAGATTTCACATACACACAATTGCTCATTTAATGCATTTAACTTTTTTTTCTCTATGACTTTTCCTTTAATGAGAAAGCACTTATTATAAATACCTAAAATAATGTTGGAATTGTTTATGAAAGAAAATTCTTGTTTCAATGCAGCAATAATTATTGTAAGAGTAGCTGTATCCAAGTTGGGCTGTAGGCAGGTATGAAAATCAGCATTAACTCTGGAGGAATTTTATTTAATTCTGTGTGTATGGGGTACTTTTATTATGAAGTAGGAATTAGTTTGTAAAATATTACATTCAAAATTTCGTTTTTTGATGTTTTACACATGATTGTTACAAAAACTATCCAAAGTCAAAGTCATTTGTTGAAACCTTTGGATGCTCATAATGAAGCTGGGAAACAAATATAGAGAATACTAGACAACCCGTGACCCGTTGGGTCACTCACTGTTCAGAGGTTATGAAGAATTCAAGCTAATTTCAATTTTGCACCAAAATGAAGGTTTATTTTGAGATAATTTAATTAAATATTTCAATCCATTCATGTTATTCATAAATCAAGAAAAGATATTTGATTGTTTATCGGGAATAAATATAAAGACCATTTCATTTTTCAAAAAAGTGAAGTCAGAGTTTTCAGGTATTGTGATGAATTAGTTCATTATATTGTGGTCTTTCCTCTTAAACCTTCTACAACTGAGAATTACCTACCATAACCAAGGCACATTATTGAGAAATTCTTCAAGATCTTGTTTTTGTCATCTTACGCCTTTTAATGAAGCTGGGAACATTCACAAGTAAATAGATTTGA